TTTCTCCCACTTTGCAGTAAATGTCTAGCATTGATAAGAAAACAGACATATTTTTTTTACGCAGAAACTAAGAATGCTACAAGATTTTACAAAGAGCACAAAATTGTGAACAAATGATTAGTGCATCAACCTAAAAAAAATGAGTTGATTTCATTAAAAAGTTCTGGTAGTTTTTGCACCACGTTACTCAAGAATTCAGCACTTGTCCAAAACAGCTGAACTCCATTGTTTCATCAAAATATGAGTTACATAAGAACAAATTCACAGCGAGTTTCATTAAAATACATCGTACCATTCTCCCGATATTTCGAAAAAGATAAATTTTTCACTGAATACAACTTTGACCATCAATAGCAGAGAAGCCAGACTTTTTTGTTAATAAAAGTTAGGTCAGGTCGTCTTCTTTTGGTCCAAAGAATATCGCAGTACCCTTTTGATCATGAGCTTACGGGACATCCTGTATATTAGCTATGATGTGAGCATTTTGTTAACGCATTCGCGATTAGCCCGTAAATTAAATAAATACTTTAGAAAATAAAATTGAAAATTTCGTAAAAACCCCCGTTGTTGAGATACAGGGTGTCAAAATTTGAGCTTTGTTTTACTCGTATCCTCACATCTTCTAGGTTTTTGAGGACAATCTATTAAATATTTTACGCCAGATTTCCTTTGATCTACTAGTTTTCACCTAATGTACACGATTTGAAACTATGCAACGCCATATTTTAGCAGAAAAAAGGCCTCCGTTTTACCCTCAGAATTTTTGCGGAGCGCCACTGACTATTTTTCAAAAATTTTAAAAAATTTACACAAAACTATAGCAGCTGTGCCATAGCAAAAATGAATAGTTTGCCGGCATTATTCTTCGGCAAAAGCACAAACGTGCAAATCCTGCCGCAATAAAAAGCCCCACACTGTATATATCCAAAGAATGATTCAGACCAAACGTACCAGTTTAATCCAACTAAAGATCTCATGATGAACCAAGCTGATTTTCCTTGAAAATTATTATTCAGTTAGTCGTCTCGATATGCCTCTTTTATCCTACAAACTGCACCAACTTTGACCTTTCATTCAAATCAACCTTTACTTTCTGTTGCTGCAAAATTCAAATCAGATTCATTCATTTCAACATTATCAACCACTCTAAAGAAATCGTAGGCTGTACTTTGTCAATTTTCATTAATCAATCAATTCCTACTCCCTCCATATCTTTCAATATAATAAAGCCGTAAGTACTTTTTAGCAATCAAAGTTTCACTGTGCCATTTACAAAGTGGTGCAGAACTTTAGCACTGGATTGTAGTGTTTACCTATTTGATAACAACAAATTGAATTATGTAAAATACTTAGCGACCCACTCAACTGTGTGTTTGTTAATTCAATTTCAGTGTTGGGTTTCAGTTGTGCGACATGCAGTGGCGTGTCCAATAGGTTTTACAAGAGCACGTTGTTGAGCTAGAAGTATCTTATGAGTGTCAAGCTTCTCACGAACAGAAAGTACTGTTTTATGTCTTCAGATTTAAGCTGAGCTTTTTGTGATAAAACGCCACTGAGTACACGAGTAAAAGCTTGCTAATACTTTAAGTGTTCCAGCAATTAAATCTCAGTTTTTTGCTAAATTGTATTAAAGGAAAATGCTCGTGAAACTATTGGTGCTAAAATGTTAATACAAAATGTAGATATGATGCTAATTGTTGCAGCACATGCTCCATAGGTGAAAGCGATTGGCTTTTTTCATGGCTAGTGTTGCACAACATTTTTTTTGTCATTCACATTACTCAACTTGTTTTCATAAAGATTTGATTGAATTTAATTTAACAGCTTAATTGACTGCTATTTTGCCTACATTGGATCAAGTTGGGAAAGAAAATAAACTAATCATAACACTGACAATTAAAGCAACAACTTTCAAAAATTAATCTTGTCGAGTACAGAGAACACAAAAAACGATTATAGAAGTTGATATGCTTAAAACGATTAGTTGGGTGTTTAGGGTCTTTTTTCAATTAGCAATGAACTGTTCTGGAAAAAATCAGGTTTTAGCATTTAAATTTTATATGAATAAACTAATTTATTGCTTACTACTTCAAGGCCAGATCAATTAAAGAACTTTCCTGGTTTTTCTTGCTTTTGCTAATTTTTCGGATTCTAAACTTTGGAATCCTAATGTGTTTTCAATAAAGAATTGGTTTCGTCGGTTTTCAACCACTTCTCCCAGGGCTGCGACCTTTCATCTTTTAACAGATTAAACATTCGTAAACGTAATTTTGTATTTTTAAACAACAAAACTGCTTTTGAAAGACAAGCGCATTTTGATTGATTTTGAAACCAATATACAAATGAATGTTTTTGCGAAAATGTTGCCTAAATTTATTAATTTTTTTCCTTTAGACAAATCTGTATGTTACTTGTAAACTGAGCATAATGGATGATTTTAGGAATCGGTTTATGTGTCGTTTTGCCTCCTTTAATAGAGAATTAATTTTATTTTTAATTTCCGTTTCAAGGTTTAAATATAGGGTGAAGAGCCGGTGGGACAACCGGTGGGACAATGAAATGAATTGAACATGAAAATAAATACAACTAAATAATAAATATGAAAATATTAAAGAACATATAAGAATAAACAACATAAATGGCGTGATTGTTTTCTTAAGGGCAAATTGCAAACTTTGTTGCTCGAAAGTGGTCGGAAACGGCATTTTCCCAAGAAACACCACTAAGAAGAATTTAAAAGAAATCATCAAAAAGAAAAAATAACAATAATGTCAGTAAACTAACTAATTGCCAAAAAAATATTTAATTTAGGCAATTTGCAAATTTTGAGATGCCATTTTTGATTTGGATGAAACTTTCTTCTATAGGCTCTAAAAACTCAGCGAAAAAACGACTTTTAAACCCGATTTATCACGTACTTCAAAGCACCTCAAGTTACCCATGGATTTTATACGGGAAAAAACGTGTTAATTTGTTTATCCTTCTAAAAACAAGGTCTAAATTTCAGATTTTCACTATTGCAGCTATTTTTTCTTATGCATTTTGACCTGCTGAATCGAACGTACCATCACTTTTTGTATAGGTATCAGCAAAACAAAAAGAAAACTAGAAAAATTAGTGAAAAAAAGAAAATAAATTGGCCTGTCACGAACATTATCATCCATTTTGTTTTAAATTATGTATTTTTCATGTGTTTTGAGCTGCTGAATCCAGTGGTTCTCTTAATTTGTTTACATTGCTTTTTCTTCGTGTTTATGATTTTCTATTTAGGCTTTTTACGAAATTTTAACCCTTCTTTTTACATTGAACTGTATCAGTCTAGGGATTTTCCAAAATTGCAACCGATTTGCAACACTCTAAATGGGTTTTATATTCGTTTCTTCCTCACTCGATGTTTCTTTGTTGATCTTATTTTGGGTGCAATTTTTTTCTTCAATAATTTTAAAATTTAGAATAAATGATTGTACCGTTTAGCCCATTCCTGTGATACCTCAAAAGTTCATTTATTATTATTCCCCATTTAGAGGACATTCCTGACTCAAAATCACTAAAGATTTGCATTAAAATGAATGGTTTTTTTCTTTGTTATACTTTATTATAATAATTTCTAAATTATAAATAGATTCGTATTGTCCACATTGTCATTTTTGTGATATCTGAAAAGGATCGCATTCCCAGCACTCCCCATGACTTAGCGCAGTTGAGGAGATCTTCGTCTCAGCTACTTGTTGGCAGTAAAATTCGCATGAAACTTTTATTTCGGGTTACTTTTGTAGAAAATCTGCATGTAACATCGCTGTGTTCTGTTTTATAATGCGATACGTTTGAATAAAAGAATTGATATGGCAAATTACGATTTTTTTTTCAGTTAGGTGCTTTATTCTTAATTGTTTTACCAAAAAAACATTTTGTGTTAGTTTTATTCCGACTACCTCTAACTAATTTGCTAACTGCGGTATTTTAGCAGATACGACACGTAAATATCGTTTAAAATCACTATTTCTAATGAAGATTCGACTTCCAGACCGTAATGGAAGGTAAAGCAAACTCTAGACTGATATCAGGAGTAAGCTAAAAAACTGAACAATTGTAAATGCTAATTCCCGTTTTAGCAAGGCGACGCAGATTTTAATTTTATATTTTGTTTATGTTGCTCTATGAATTCAATCATAACCAGCGTGGATACGCGAAGAAAAACTGGCTTCTTTGTAGTGCTTTAACCCGATCAAAAAGCTTAGCAACGATTTACTTATGTTGTCACTATTCTAAATTACATCAATATAGTAATAAATAGATTTACAAAAAAAGCTGTAACTAACTGAACCGAGTGTTTCTTGCCCTTGTAAAATGCATTTTTCAAAAGCTTGGTAATTGACTGAGAAGTTTTATTTTAAGACCACTCTTCTAAGTTTTCCAGCATTTCGGTCAATACTACAATTTCATTTTAAAAAAATTCAGCTGATTTAACTACAACTATAAAAAATCAAATACTGATGGATTAATTCTGGAATGAAAAGAAACATTTTGTAAACAGTTCAAATCAAACCAAAATCCATTATATGCTCTTAAAGAAAAAATCGATCCTCCATAGCTAAACAATCACTATTTTACACGGACAATGCATTTATTTAACATGCCTAAACCTATTATATAATGGAGCAATAATTTAAATAATATACGGTTATGTAGATCGGCATTTTAAACTGTAGGCAGTTTGTTTGAAAATAAAAAGTCAAGGTATATAAAGTAAACCTGTTTCATTGGCATGCAGTTTCAGCCTTGTACGATCCATGCTAGTAAATAACTCGAAACTGAACGTGTTAAATGCTACGTTATTTGATCTAATGCTGCTTGAATTGTTTATAACTGTATTCACAAATTGAAATTGTTTTTTTTTTGGGAAATTAATGTAAAATTCAAGAATGAACGAAAAGCATTCAAAGTTTTAAAATCTGAATTATCCACTATTTTACCTGTGAATGTGAAAATGTGTGACTTACCCTCAAGGCAGATAGAGTTGAGCTCAATTTCAAAATCCTTGGAACTCATGCAGGAATCCATTGTCGTTCAGTTCAGTTCTGCACGTTTATCACGAACTTAAAAAGCACTCGAACCAAATAAAAAGTGGCATTTTTAATTCACAAATGTTTGTCCATCAACCATCCGCAATCCTTAGAACCAAATGTCGCGAAGGACGAGGTACTGTTGCAGGTCAGTCCTTGGTGGTTGCTGGTACTTGGCGTTTCTGGTACCAAAATGCGCACTCAGCACCTGCCAGGAACGCGTGTGTGCAAAGACATACCAGTTTTTCTCATTCTCAGTTCAATCCGTTCTCTTCGGAGACGTTCGTGTGTGGAGGATCGCCCACCAGTACTGCCGCATTTTTGCCGGTACCATCTTCAATGATTTCTTGTAAAGATGTTACGGTAGCACGCAGCTGATACATGATCGACTCGTGTGTTCCTCAAAGGGTCTATAAGCGGGCAAGTGCAAGTACCACTTGCGGCTGAAACAGTTTGCTTCAGGTGCGGTAATTTCGTCGATAACAATAATTAAAATATGAGCTTGCGGTCTTGCGTTAATAACAGCTAATCAAGAGTAATCATCATGGATCGTTGGCTTGTTGAGATGCTACAGAACCGTCAATCGTCTCAGGTCCATTACCGCACAGCTGGTCTATTGAGGCCAAAGCTACTCTGCCATAATTTTTCGCAAATCGATAAAAGTATAAAAATCGAAAGTATCCCAGCCAGCCGAAGGTGATAAGAATGTACAGTGAAGTCACCATACAGGTCTTAAATTGTACGTTTTGTCTTCAAATGTGCTTAGCTAAACTGAATCATGCGGATTAAACAGAATTTTCAAAAAATTCAAACGAAATAGTGTCAAGAACAAGGGCGGATCCAGGGGGGTCATGACCCCCTCCCCCATTTAATTCTCTATCCAACGATGCCAAAACGAATTCTGTGGCTCGAATGGTTCTTGAGAAACTTCAAAAAAAGCAGCGTCATGTTCAAGTGGATTTTGCAACTCAAAAAAAACCACGCAAATCTAAAACTTCTTGGATTCAAGCCTTTTTTGAGAAAACTGCCAACATTTCCCCATCCACTTTCTAAAAAGGCCATTTATTTCTGTCTAGAATGATGTACAAATGAGCATTCTTGCTCATTTTGCCTCCGAGAAATGAGCAAAAATGGGACGGAAAACATG